CACTCTCTTTGCAACATTTTAAAAAATATGCTCATAATCCCTGAGCAGTCTAACCTTATGATAGAGTGTACCACAGGAGATAATTGCACAATTTCGTCCCTTTCCAAATTGTGAAATAACACGATTAACTGATTCTTTGACTTTTCCCTGAGGTTTTATCACCTCAAGCCAGGTCAATAAAACTGGCTCTCTTTTAGCACAGGCACATACTTACATATCAAATCTATATGGACTTCAAATTGAGGAATTGTTTTAATAATTTTTAATCTTTCGGTGAGTGATTTTTATTAAACCTCATTATAATAGTAGAATGAATTATATCCATTATCTATACCACTCATCCTTTAAAGGTACAGTGTGTAGAATGTTGTGATATCTAGAGAGGACCCCCTCGATGTAAATATTTAAGTATTTAAATATAAAGGGCCTTTTCTGGGGTAAAGAAAACTACAATTCATACAATTTAGATGAAACAAACTAGTGAAAACATCATGRGGATTATTCTACATTAAATTTCTACCAATAGTTCCCTTTCACCTAAATCTTACACACTGGACCTTTAAGGCCACATGTGGGCTGGAGTCATTAGAAGAAGGAATTAAGAAGACTTAAGTTAATAAGAGCCTCACCAATAAATGTATCCATAGATCATGTTGATCTTGTACACTAGATACAAGTGCAAATGATACTAGGGAGTGAAGATTATTGCCAAAGCCTTTGTATAATCCTGATGTGTAATTCCTCACCCCATCCAGCCTCATTGCCTTTAAGCCTTTGATTACCACCACGATTGTTTTGTTATGCATAAATCTTTCAGTCACAGTCGGGACACGGTGGCACTATCCAACACTATGTCAATAGAGGAGACAAGCAGTTAGTGGAGTTAACAGTGACCCAAGCTGTCCCAGTGTAGCATGCCTGCCAGGCTTTTTCCAACTGTTGTTGACAACAGACCCTCATTCAACCTGACTTCAGCCAGCAGTACACATCCAATCCACCACCCTCATTTCTCGCACTGACAGGCCGCAGTGCTGTCCAAACAGCCGTCATCTAATGCAGAGTCTGCTGGTGGCGCATCGCTGAAGATCTTCACCACTCTGTCTTATCCCTTCACTAAAATCTGCTCTGTGGCCCAGAAGAAACTATTACGGTCGTTGAAATAGTCAGGCTGATGTAGCGAGAAGTAATATCAGCTAAAGCTAAATTTAGCATCACCGAATAAGCAAATGCTCTGCCACCTGAAAGTTAATGTGTGAGACTGAAGAAGTTTGTAATCCTCTTCAATCTAACACAATAAACTACAATGTTTAGCCGTCAGAGTGTGTGTGTGTGCGTGGCCTTTTCCAGTATATACACACCTCGCAGGACCTTAGATCTCATAAGCCATTTTCAGACATGACCTAAGGGTAAAGTCCAGAGAATTAGGTACAGACATGACCCACAGTTTGCCTTTAACATACGCACAACACAGCGGGAGGTTTTCTGCAACAGACTAGTTCACGACAGCAAAAAAATCCTCCACAGAGGTGGTGCAGTTGGGTGCAGCAGGCAGAGGCAAAAAGTAATGTATTCATCCCGCTGTGAAAATCACGTGATCACATCTTTGCAACACACAGACACTGGTGTCGCCACAAACTCTCTAGACCTCTTCGTTGATGTCTTCTATGTGTCTGTCACCGCTTTTTGTTTTGTTTGTTTTTTGTTTTTTTCATTTATGCATCTGATGCGTGTTGTAAACATCAGCAGGGATCCCTTGCTATGTTCTCACATTGGATTCTCCTCATTTTCTGTCACAGGATCCACAGCTCCAAACAGTAGGCTGATCAAGAAACCACTGACATGTTCCTGAAAAGAGTTCCGCTCCCTGATACTCACCACCTGATCCGCACCACAATCTGTCCTCTCACCACTGACCCTCAGTGGGATTCATCTTGCATGCGCCATATGGAGCAACCTGTTTTTAGCACTTGGTACCCGTCCTATGGAGACCTGCATGTGTTGAATATCCACACAAACCTTGGATGATCAATTAAGTTTTTTTTTTACTGTATATACAACTTGTCTAGTAGCTATCTATGAATCTTGCTCACCCCCAGGAGTGGTACTTCTAATTAGGTCTGATGTGATGTAGCCCCTCCTTCTATAATGCTGTAGCTACAACCATTGAGATATATAAGTAATTTAGGGTAACTTCAACCAAAGGAATAGTTTAACTCTGACAGTGTAGAGTGCGCAGTTGCTGGCTTTGAAAGTGGTATGGAGCTGGCGTCAAGTCACATGTTTAAACTAAACCATTTAGATGACAAACCCAGGCAATGTCTGCTTGTTCAGGTGTGTTGGACAGTAAGGACAGAGATTATTATTGATGGAGAGCTGAAACACTCGTGGACAGAGATCCTTTGTGAAAGTTGGTCATTTAGCATTATTGCTCATCTGACCTTTGTGTTTCAGGAACAAAACATTAAGTATAAAGTTGTACTATTAAACTGGATTGTGTGTATAATATTTTGTCCATTTGCATTTGAGCTGTGTTCTCCACATTGCAGACAGGTATAATACAAGGTCCTCTTATCCTCATCCTCATATATTCAATGTCAGTGCCATGCAAATGCTGCAGTGAGCACCTGGTCTGGTGACACTTTGTCCTTGGGTGAGTAATTTACTCTGAACATCCCCCGTTTTCAGACCTGAAACACAAATGCAAGTGAATGACTTTCAGTGACAACCAACAGATATCGAGGGTCAAAAGAAATAAATGACAAATGAAGTGGACCTCTCAATACCTTTTAAAATAAAGTTAAAAGCTTACTCCGTCATGTCAAGAATGTCCTCATTATTCAGCAGGTGTACATGGTCCCATGTATAGTCATGAGACCAGCCAGTGGTTCAAAGCGGTAACAGCTGATACCTGCAGCCCTTCATCTGCTATAACTGTCGACCATCTGCAATAGAAAGCATGTAACAATGGAACAAAGCACAAATGTGACTATACCAACTCAGTTAAATACAAGCACAGTTTGTGGTCCTGGCACTTTTTGCTGCTGACTGTGCAGCTTAAGGACACCTCCTGGGCTTGCTGCTTTCCCAGACATTATTTTGCTGTTGGCATCTCTATCCTTCACACTGCTGCTTCTGCGGTAGAGGAACAACAGTGGGGAAATGGTTCAGAGCACATTGAAGATGAAGGAGGAAATTGTGAAAGTACATGTAGGGCAAGAATGGAAATATAAAACAGATTTTACAGGTAACATTTTTTAGTACAGTACAGCTGTGGACCTTGTTAAAGTACTCTGATGTCCTTGCTTTATAAATATAACCTCTTTATCCATTTACAATGGAATGTGTTTTCATGGTACCATCCTGGCTTTTTAACATGTTTTCTTCATGCAGAATTGTTGGCTCCGGATATCTTTTTTGCCACAGCATGTAGGAATTTCACACCGGCCAGACAATTGCCAGTCCCTGTGATTAACTAGCTCACTCTAGGATGCATAGCTGGCTGCGTGTAGGAAGCAGCTGCTAGGATTTACTGTGCTGAATCTGTTACATTTCCATAAATAGATAGATTTTTTTGCATGCATTTGTTTTACTACAGGGTTTCCGATATTGCAGCTGCTGCCAATTTACATGTCTGAACTGCACTTACTGTATCCAGGCCATATATAAGATCATCAAGCTATAAAATATATGTTCCTGTCTATTATAGTCTATTATCAGATGACATAAGGGACTAAATTGTATGTTTTTTTTTTACTCAATCTTCAATAATAATATTTTGACCGA